ATGTATGCATCTGCTATTTTTAGCGAGCGTGCCAAAAACCATGCATTCAACCATTTCTATATTATTTATTTCAATATTTCATGCATGTAAGATTGAAAAGATTGAGCCGTGATTTCAATAACGTGTTTAAAATTTTAACAAAATATAAAATATATAAAGCCTGTTCTAAACGTCGCATTTTACATGCGCCGAATGCATTCAAAACAATGGATAATGAGGCATTTCAGCTGTTATCTAATGTAAAATGCGACGTTTAGAACAGGCCTTATACATTTATCATTTATAGACCTGGAGCTACGGGCTTTGCCCCGAGGGAAATATCATCACTGAGGGTAACTGATTTCGCGGAATCCCCCGAGCGGAGGGTCTATAAATGATATATTATACCGAAAATTATAAGCTTCCAAGTTGAGAATTAAAAACTTTACACATACCTTCGTGAATGCGATGTTTTACTTTGGGACTTATGTACGAGTCAAATCCAACCGCGATCAGGCCCCCGGGCAACCCCCGGGGAATTTGACTTTTGAAAAAATAATTGGTCAAATGCCCGCCCGAACAGGCAGAAACCACAGTCAAATGCCCTGCTATAGTGGTAGTCCTGGTTCTGGAATTTTGGCTAAAATTAATTTTAACAATTATTTCAAAATTAAAACGAACAAAAAATAGGCCAGACCCCTGAGTTCTTATTTTTGTTCAACCGGGCATATTGTATCATATATCTATGATTGATATTTGTGACGCAAAATAGAAAACTCGTGAAGCGCTAGAATGTACACATATTTTTGGGAAAACCGCTGAGCAAGTTGTTGTCAAATGGTCAAATGCCCGACCGGGCCGTCAAATTCCCGCCTATACGGGGTAACGTTAAGTCAAATGCCCTGGGGTTGCCCGGGGGGGGGGGGGCTGATCGCGGTTGGATTTGACTCGTACATTAATACGCAAGTATCGTCGCTTTTCTTTTTAATCACAATCGTTTGGAATATTAATGACAACATTTTTCAAAATTTGCTTCAAAATTTTGAAAAAGCCCCAGGTTTTACGTTTAAAATTGAATTATTCATCACTCATTAATAATACTATTATTTTCATTGTGTGTGTTGGTGTTATGTGACTCAGGTAAATAATATTATGATGTTTGTGATGTTACTCTGAGTGTGCATCCACAACGGGCAAGCTGAAAAGTTAGCTTGGCCACGGTGGGAATCGAACCCGCGACCTTTGGGATACTAGTCCAATGCTGTGCCAACAGAGCTACGTGGTCAAGTCGTGATAAAACTTTGAGTTTGCAATAAAATATTTCAAATTCTCGCATGCAAATAACTTTGCTTTCTTTTTTTATTTAAAAAATTCACTATAATAAAAAAGGGAATCACTATTATTAAAGATACACTGAAATTATATGCTGTCTTGTTTAGTTGTTTCATATACGCAAAGCCAAGGCCGTCGGGTTTTAAAGCAATTATAAAATCATTATTTAAAACAAAGTTACCTTCGTTAACGTTGGCTCCCTCTTTTAGCCGATTCTTTCGCCCTTTCTTTCTAAGAAAGCTTTTGAAATTTACAAAATCTTGCAAAAATGCGAGCAAAAATAAAACAGTATATTTGCAAGAAATTTATCAATCATCAAATCAAGAAATGTTTGTTATTTCACTGTCGTCATGCAGTCGTTATAATACAAACTTTAAATTGGACCAATCAGTGTCCGCTATTCATGACAATCCGCCATATTTTTGAGATCAGTGAGGATGACCACCCACCCAACACTCCAACACCGTTGGTGACCCACGCCCGCGATGATTGATGAACTTTAGACTTCGCTAATGCTTTCGTTTCCCCGGGTGTAAATAGCCGGGGGGAATTAGTGCCCTCGTACAGCGCTTCGCGCCGTCGGCTCGGGGATAAAAGACATATTTAGATCGAGGACGCGGACGTCAAAGACGACGTGAAAATGGCGTGTTGTGCCCATGTATGGATATGCCACGCCATTTTGACACCATTTTCGCGTCGTCTTTGACGTCCGCGTCCTCGATCTAAATCTGTTTAAAACCACCGACACGGCAGTGCATGATTTCTTTTGTACTTACCTCATGCATTATTAATGATTTTTAAAATTATTTTACTTTTTAACATACAAGAACTTTAAACATACAAGAAAATAGTTGCTCCATATTTCTCAGCGGCACTGCAGGCCATCAAATATCGTATCTATATAATATTCAGATCCATTACTTTTATTATTGACTACGTCACAACAAAGTCATTAAATTTTGCTAACATCTAAAAACATTTACCCAACTTTACAGTTAAACAATTTTACGAGTTACCACTTGCATCTTCGTTGTCCCTCTTTTAAAATGTTTATTATTATCAAATAACATGTCTTATATTTAGTTAATTAAAACCATTGTGCAGGGTAAATTCTATCAATTCATTAAACTATGTGAAATGTTGAAAAATCGATGTTGGATTTCATAGTATTTCAACAATTGCACAGATGCTAATCCAACGAATTTTGCGTGCTATATATCTAAATGAAATCTTGAATTTTGCTTACAATAATATTCATGCTTGTTTCTTCATTTTCGCAATTGAAAGAATTAAGTTTAAATTTGAAGTGAAACATTACAAAATCCACACCCTGTATAATGTGTGATCCGATAAGACCTAAATACACTTAAAATACTCATTGATATTTAACATTCCCTTGAATCAGATGAACTTCTTAATTAGACACGCAAGTCAAAAAATATAAAAATCAACATGTCAATACATTTCTACTATAAAACAGTCAGTAATTCTTAAACTGGGGATGGTTCTTTAGTTTTGGTGGACAGCTTCATCGCACCCGCAGCGGTTTGTAACAGGTTAGACAGATCCTTTTGGAAACCAGATGCCACAGGAGGAAGCATTTTGATGTCACTTGTACAGATCTTCACAGTTTCACTGAACTCATCTGGGACTGCAACTGTAGCCATTTCATTCCAGGTTATTGTTTTCCCACATCCGGCAAATTCAGACGAGGAACTCTTCTGAGAATTCACGTTCTTATTGCCAGCCTTGGTAATGTTGAGCTTGTTTCCGATCCATTCAAAACTAAAGGTTGCCAGAACAGAAAATGCTGAATTTCTGATATTATTGACATTGTTGGGCCGGTTTCCACAGGTTGTACTTCCATCGCAGCCTTCTACCTTGGTCCAAATCAAACCACAATGTGGACACTTTCGCAACTCAGACACACCATGCTCACTCTGAAATCCAACACATTCTGCTCTGACATCGTACAGTATCGTGCGAAGTTGATTCACCATGTTTGCAACATGACCAGCCTCGTTTGCTGCACCATCGCCATAAAAAGTAAAATTATTCTTGTTGGCTAACCTCTTCTGAGCTTGAACAATCTCGTCTGCCATGTATGCCTGGAACTCGAAGAAAAGATCAACACGATCCTTGCCAGTGAAACCCTGTATAGCCTCATCGAAATTTTTCTTCATGGCAGAAAATCTTTTAATTTCATCGTTGGTGCAGCGAAGAATCTTCATGTGGTTGTTGTGGAGTTTGAAGAATTTGAAAAAGTTTTCACCATCAACCGTTAGGTTATGTTTCTTTGTACAGGTTGTCAATATGTTGCTCAGCAGGATCTCAGCCGTGGTGTCCATACTGGAGAAGACAACCGTATCTATACCAAGCTTTCTTTCTACGTCGGGTACAAGTTCTTCTGCCGTCCACTTTACCTTATCCAGGTGTGTGACAAGAACCCCCAATACGTCCATTTCAGCGGGTTCCAGGAAACGATTTGCGTATTTGCTTATGTTATCGATTACAGTGTCCTTACGATCCTCTGCTTTGACAACAATGAACAACCTGGAGACTGGTTTGTAGTTGAATGCAGCAGCTATCCAGACATTGTGTTCCAGTTCATCATCCATTGCGTTACTGCCTGGTGTGTCAGATATGATGAGACTGCCATCAGGAACACAAAATGCTTCGGAGGTTCTCGTGAAACTGATGCTGGCGTCGGAACTCCTGCCTTTCTCTCCTGTAAGCTTCTCGACAACTGTTGACTTTCCTGAACCAACGTCACCCAAGAGCACTACATATTCTGCATCCTGGAAGTTTCCCCTCTTTGTTGATATCCCTGAAATATATTGCACATATAGTTATGGAGCAACCACCCTACCCAGGCCTTTTACCGGACGTAAGGTATAAACGTTTATATTATTTTGCATTTATTTTAGCAAATAATGGACAACTTTATCAAGCATGAAGTCAAACTTCAAAGTTTTGTTGTGACTTCTTCTTCGGCCATATTCTACTAGGAACTAGCTTAATTTGACCAGAACTGCAAATTCATGATGATATGATGGAAATTTTTATTTACTTTTTGAGGAGTATTATTGAGGAGTATTAAGAGGAGTATTATTGTTTCGAAGCCTGTTACAACATTATGTATCTACAACATTTTGTATTGGACTGGCTTTTAGTTAATTTCAATTCTGCATGGATTGTGGTTCGGCTACATAGTGCAAGAAAACTTTGAGACGCTTTGGCACCCGTTACAATTTTCACAGAGAAGTATTACGAAGAAACAAACTATCTCTGTAGACATGTTGATAGAGTAGTTTTGCCTAGCGAAAACTGTTCATCTTCTGCGAAATAGAAGTTTTCTGAGAAGCCAATCAGAACTCTTCCTAATTCAGACATCTAACCCAGAGCCTAATTTTCTACGAGTGACCGAGCGAAAATGGCTCTGGAGACGGTTTAGACCAGGTGATCTGAAAACACATAAGAAAACTGGGACTAGTTGTCGAATAGAAATTCATTTTTCGATTATAACTACTTCATATCTCGTGAAATATATGTTATTTTTCCCCAAATGTCTTCTTTGTGCCTCTCACAACTAAACATGGCTAAAAAGTTTCAACTAGTTTCATTACATACAAATAAATAAATGATTAACTACAACAAAATGGATTTCAAGCTATTTAGCCGCTAGTTCTAGGGCAACTATGGAGTGCATGGATTCCGGATTCCATACTCTGGATTCCGGATTTCAAAGTCTCTAATTTACTGGATTTCGGACTTCAGGTTCTTTTACATTGGGCAATCTATTTTTTTCATCAAAAATTTAACTTACCATCACCTTGTTCAGTGTCATTGCTCATTGCTTGTATCTTTAACTTTTTTAGTAGTTTCTCCTGCTTCGTAGGTTGTCGAGCGTATCGGTCACTATGCCTTGATTCGCTTCCCTTCATTCGACGACGTGTACTTTCGTTTTTCATGGGTTTCTTATGTGTCATCTTTTCTTTTACTATCCAGATAGTTTTAGGATTTGCAATCTCATTTAGATCAGTAACTTCACTTACGTCATCGTCTTCTCCTTCGCGATGCATACACAGTATTGTATCATCGTCAAACTTTAATGGCGATCTGCTTAACTCCAATAAATTGAAAACCTGGTTTCCTGCTTCGATCTCTATTCGTGCCAGTTTACCTGTCTCCTCCCTTTTAACTACAAACTTTAGTTTCTTAGCGGCATTCTCCCTGCAAAGGAAATAATACAATAGTTAAATGTATATTCATACATACATTTGATAGTTGTTCTCCATTGGGATTTCCAACAACCATTTACACTGATCGTGAAATTGTGGAATCGGGAACAGACACAAATAGACCGCGAGTAAGACCGCGCAAGCTCACAAATTGTGCTTTCAGTTGCCGCCATTAGTCCATATCTCTTTTAATAGCCGCACATGCCACCTTAATATTGATTTTGTAGAGGGGAGAAACCGGAGTAGCCAGAGAATAACCCTCGAATTTCTTAAAGTTTACTCATGCACTTTGTTAAAACCAATTAAGGGTGGTCACCCATTGACGAGAGGTGTTGCGCTAGCTGCATACGCCAACGGTGGTTTTCCAGGTATATAATAATCATATACAAGGGCGTAGTTCGCCCCTAGTTCCTGATTTTTGAAATAATTTACACAAAAATCGTTAAAATTCATAGTATTCAAATGATCACATTTGTATCAGTAAATACATACCATAGTTTCAGCAACAAAGCCAGAAATACCACAAAAATTAATAAATTGAAAAGTCCTTGGATAAATGATTGCATACTAAAATAATCAAAAGAGATGATTGTATACATAGTAAACTAAACAAAGTCAAGGTCATTTTATAAAATCTGAAAATAAATAACAAGTGGAAAATTGGAAAAATATTGGAAAAAATTCATTTGCTCGCGGATTATTGGAGCAACAATAGACCTTTCCCCTTATAACCAAAATTTTGATCTAGGCAAGTCTAGACAAATATTTCATCACAGCTTGAAAGAGAATCACAAAATTAGTAATATTCCAAAGTTTCGTTGCGAAATGTTGTAAAATGAGGAAAATAGAGCCTTGCGACGTTTGCAATTTTCAGTCCGATTTTGCATTACAAACGGAATTGCAGTCCCAACACCCGAATCGGATGTCGATTTCACGTTTGTAATACAAATGACTGAAAAACGGCAAATTTCGCAAGGCTATATTATCCGCATTTTACACGATTTTGCAACAAAATTTGGAATATGCTCTTTCAAGCTGTGATGAAATTTTTGTCTAGATCGAAATTTTAGTTATAAGGGGAAAGGTCCATTGGTCCCCAATCGCTGCATGATCCAATGGAAAGTATCCGGTGGAAATTTAGTAAGAATTCAATTGTCCGCATATATGTAAGTAATAACCTCTACTAAGATACTCTGACTATAAGATACAAAACATGCGAAGCTTGTGAAAAATGTTTTGACCAGTCGAACTGCCACGAAATTTACAATTTTAGGAAGGCAGGCAGAATAATATATTGTGTATATTTGCAGAAGCCTTGGTTGCTCTTGTCCTTTCTTCTCACGAAGCTCAACAAACAGAAAGAAAGTTTCATATAAGCATATTTACATATAATTTTACACCCCCACTAACAAAGACCCGTTTGGCCCAGTTTCTGGTCCACTTGAAAGATTGTCATGCTTATTATACTTTTTTACTGACTTGACAACGACATGTGCAATCGTCGAAACATCGTCTTAGTTTAATAAATAAAATTAAATTCTCATTTAAACTTAAATAAAAAATACTAAATTTTAACATATGATTCCAAGTACCTTTCATCACACATATTTACAGTCAAATGTATAAAAAAATCTTAGATCTTCTTATTAGTTGTAGAAACAATATAGGCTACTCATTAATCATTATCATTCTATAGGAAATTATCGCCGGCTGAGAAATGACAATAAGTCTATTTTCCTGGTAACTGGCTCACAGACACTGACTCCAGGATGTTAGCCATGCAATTGAAAGTCTTCGTTTATATGTAATGAATATATAATATACATAAATGCCAGTGCATGGGCATGCATTACATAAACTTTATGTGACTTTGAGAGGAATTAATCTTGTATACGCTTTATTCTAGATACAGTAGGTGTACGTGTGCCGATGATTAGCGAGCTTCGACATTTATAAACATTTTTAAAAATTGATAAACATTTATTTCTTATTTAAATTCTTATTTCTTATTATAAATACTCAATACAGTTCAGGTCCAAGAAGTCTGAAACGCTAGCGATGCACGGGAACAACTCGTTATATAGTATAGGCAAATTCAAGGGAAATATAGCTAAGCTTATATTCGCTAGAAAACAGAAGACATGAATGCGACTGATATAAAACATTAAATTTTCTGATTTGTAATAAGTTTACTGTACCTTACATGCGCAAACGTATGGCGTATGACAGTGACTGTGTGGACGTCTGTAGCCTCCAAGCGATCAACTGATATGAGACAAATATTTTAATGCGAACGGCTTAATAAACAGGTCGACACTAATGGTGAACTTCTTAGAATTGCTAATCCGGGAAATCAAAACTGAAAATTGAAATTATATAAATTCTGATTTCCCCGTAGGCCGTAGCATACTTTTAATACCAGGAAACATGCAATTCTTGGAACGCCAAATATAATTTTAAATTATAATCTTTAAACAACACATTATTTTATGACAATATACTGAGAATGTTTTTACGGTGAAGTCAACATATTCATACGCTCTGCGATCGAAATTTGATATTTTTATGTCCGACGTAAATAATAAGTGTTGAAATTGTGATGAAAATGGATTTTATTCAATTACTAATTACAAAAAAGTGGTAATTTTACAAATTATAAAAATGCATGTTTCTGCAGTTGTAGTTTGTGCAGACTCTAGTTTAATAAAACCAACTTAACTCTTTCCACTGTTTCGCCTGTTTCCACTATAGTACTTCAATCGTATCGTACCGAAACGTAGCGTATTTCTTTGTTTCCTGACCACTAGAGTGAAACTATAATGACTTCGACACAAAAGAATACGGTACGTTACGATACGATCAAATAGAAAACTGGCCGGCTTTACGGTGAAATTTTGATTAACCTGGAACAGCAAATTTAGGAATTTTGCTGCGTCTGATAATTTGTTTATCATCAGTTGCACTCATTGAGAATGAGCGTCCACTCATTGAATAATGTGAGTGCGCTTTTAGAATATAGGCGTTAAATTCTGTCGTTTACAAACTGTGTGAGAACGTTGTACAGATTAAGTTATCCACCGTTTAAGCTAAACGGGCTTCGATCGAACAACCGACCCCTGTCAATTTTCATTTGCGAGTTTAAACAGATAGGAAAAGTTCAGGTCGAAGAGGTCTGAAACGCTGGCGAGCACGGGAGCAACTCGTTATATAGTATATAGATTATAGGCAAATTCAGCGGGAAATATAGTTAAGCCGCCAGCCTAAACTTCAGGCTAGAAAACAGAAGACATATGCATGCGACTAAAACATTCACTGATTTTTAATAAGTTTACTGTACCTTACATGCGCAAACGTATGGCGTACTGTTAGACACGGACACGGTAGTGTGCACGTCTATAGCCTCTGAGCGATCAATGATATGAGACAAATATTTTAATGAGAACGGTTTAACCATTATATACGTACCGTTTAAAAAGAATATCATTTTATGACAATTTTATGTTACTTCAAAACATCTTTGGATACATTCGTGCAAAGAATTACGTTAAAATCAATGTTTTCCAAAAAGGCATACAAACTGAGTGTAGCTAGGGTCCCTGCATGTCTGTAGTATATTTATTTACTTGTATTTCACGTTTTAATGCCACAATTCCCTAAAAAGATCGGTGACCCCCGCTTTTTAACTGCTAATTTATTTCTTTAATGCATTTTACATTTCATATCCGAAATTAGAGAAATCATTTCTGGATCTTGAAAAAAAATGCTTTATCAATGCATGTTCTCAAAGAAAGATATGTAAAGAAATGTGTAAAAGACATTTGTGGATCAGAATTGTACACGTTAGTAGTTTCATTTTGCTCAAAACACAATATGTTTTCAAAAATAATTACATTAAGATAGGATTACTAAAGCAAAATCCGCGCTAAAAACGTCAATAAATATCGGGCTGTTGTGAGTTTGCTGTTACTCGTAATGAGCGTCAAGATGGGGCGCCATATTGGGGTAAAGGTGGTATATTGTGATTGTCATATCTTCTTAACGAGTTCGGTGACCCCGACTTTTTGTGTGATTTTACTTTAAGTATATCATAAACTCCATGCCTGGGAAGTTTCAGCACATTCCCATTTCGGGAACAATTACTGCGGAATTACCGGAATAAACAAGTCGCCACTCATGGTGTACTTCTTAGAATTGCTAATCCCGGAAATCAAAATTTGATTTCCTCGTAGCATACGTACACTTTATAATACCAGGAAACATACAATTCTTGGAACGCCAATTATAATCTTTAAACAATACATTATTTTATGTAAGCGAGGTAGAAGTCAGCTCATGAAATACAGTAAGAATGTCCTTGACAGAGAGTGGCTTAGCTCTGGGAGGTCAAATTACGTTGAAATTAAGGTGCTTCACGGACACGGTGCATGAAGTCAACACTGATGCATACGTATTAGATCGAAATTTGATATTTTTATGTCCGACGTACTAATAACTAAATAAGTATTGAAATTCTGATGAAAATAGATTTTATTCAATTACTAAATTACAAAAAAGTGGTAATTTTATAAATCGTAAAAATACATGTATGTTTCTGCAGTTGCATGTAAAGACACAATAATATAGTATAATAGCGAATTGAACATTAGTCATTACAAAAATTTGGCACATTCAATACAGCTACGTGCCTACGTGTCCTTTCGTAATATACAATATCCGGCTACCCAGTTTGTTTCCAGGTAGCATGCAAGGAGGAAATTAAAACCGAAACCAACTTACAGTGCAATTTTGATTACCTGGAACAGCAAATTTAGGAATTTTGCTCCGTGTGACAATCATAATTTGTTTATCATCAGTTCAGCTTTTAATTTCAGTCAATGGAAAGACTATACCCTGCCCCTGGCGACACACGTTCAGTCGTTCACCAGCATTGGCATGAGCACATGTTACATTTGACCATTTGCATAGAGGGTCCTGAAGGGGTAAAATGGGAACTGGGATTTGCTTATTTTTGGGTGGGAAAATGGAATTTCACGCACTGGGACTGGGATTCATCAGAAAAAAAAAACAATAGAAAATGGGAATGGGATTACGATTTGAGCATGACAGCCACTGAGATGATGGGACTTGTGCTCTACGAAAATGGGATTTAGTCAAAATTTGGGCTGGGAAATGGGAATACGACCCCCTTCAGGACCCTCTGCTTAGAGTGCACGAAACTGACAAAAGTCATTTATTTATGGGTATAGTTTCTTTGAATATATAAATGGTCATTTTCTGAGTGAACTGAGTGTGTGTCAGAGAATAGTGTTCGGAAGGAGAGATTATATTATGCCGAAATTGTATCGATTCATTCGATTATATTGTTACAAAGCCAGCCTTGGCCGTTTGTGTTAAATTATTCTTAACAAGATTAATTAATTTTATCATGGAACCAATTTTAGTTATCAACTGTGATCCTAGAAACTACATTCCCCCGAAAATATTAATTTAAATTAGGCATTGCCCCTTGCCCTGTGGCTTTTATCTCACGGCCCGGGAAATGGCCAATTCTTGTCAAATACTACGTACATGTAGTAAGGTTTGAAAGAGACTTTAATATCAATACATTAGTTTATATACACGTGGCCCCGTCATTAGTAATAGTTAATATTAATTGAATCACATTACATCTCCCTTTTCTTAAAGATGTAAAACTTAATGTCAACTTAGCTAAGTCTTTCGCTTATTTTGATTGTAACTTTAATGTTTTAATAATTTTGAATGTCAACTACTCTAGTCCAAGATTTTCTCTTGCTTTCAAAGACAATGTTTTAATTCTGCTAGGTCTGCTATTTATATTTAATGATGGTGTTGTTTCCTGTTCGTCTTGTTTCTTATCAATGTCCTTGGGAATGTTTTGCAGCTGTACTCGGTTTCGTCTTACTACCGTTGTAGGAGTATCAACCAGATATGATCTTGGTTTCTTGGATGGTCTAATTATTGTTCCGGTACAATCCATGTCTGTGATGTAAACTGTTGCTCCTGGTGGTAGAGGTTTTAATGGTTGAGCTTTGTGGCGATTGTCAAATTTCTTTTTCTGCTTCGATCTATATACTTCTTCTTTTTCTATGAAGAGTTTCTGGTTTGGCAGTTGTGGTGTTAAATGTGGTAGTGTTATTGGTATTGTTGACTTTATCTTTCTTCCCATAAGGAGTTCTGCTGGAGAGTATCCGCTTGCTAATGGTGTTGATCTATATGCCAGTAGTGCTTTTGTTGGATCTTGTTCCTTCTTCAGGATGTTTTTCACTGTTTTTACTGCTCGTTCCACTTCGCCGTTCGCTTGAGGATAACGAGGGCTGCTGGTACTGTGTTTGAATCCCCACTCCTTTGCAAACTGGGCGAATTCGTCACTATGATATTGAGGCCCATTGTCGGAACGTACCTCGTCAGGAATCCCGTGCCTGGCGAAAATGGTTTTCAGGGCTTGAATGATCTTCGATGAACTTGTACTTTTAGGTAATGCCACAACTTCGACGTAGCGAGAATAATAATCTACCACCAGTAGGTAAGTAACCTTTTCTAGAATGAAAAGGTCTGTTGCAATCAATTACCATGGTCTTTGAGGGAGTGGCGTTGGCATCAATGGTTCTGGATGCTGCTGTCTATATTTGCTGCATGTTGTACAGTTTTCGACCATGACTTTAATTTGGGCACTGAGTCCTGGCCACCAAACGGATATTTTGGCTCGTTCTCTGCATTTGCTGATACCTTGGTGACCTTCGTGTATTTGGTTGAGGGTTTGGCGTTGCAAGCGGGATGGAATGACCAGTCTTGTTCCTTTGAGCAATAACCCGTCGGCGATGGTGAGCTCTCCTTGTACTGACCAGTAAGGTTTTACGGCAGGAGTGACATGATCTTTTTCTGGCCATTGATCCATACAGTATTTCTTCACTTCTTTGCATACCTCGTCTTCATCTTGGGCTTGTTGGATTTCCTTCAATCTCGGATTAGATGCGGGCAAGGCATCAATTACACTTAAAACGTAAGCGTTCATTTCATTTTCTTCTACGGTTGGTTGGACTGTGCTTTCAGGTATCTTCCTGGACAGAGTGTCGGCTGTGTAGTGTAGTTTTCCAGGTACGTGTCGAACATCTTTGATGTGGAATCTCATTAGTCTCATCTTGTAGCGTTGTAGTCTTGGAGGTAACTTGTCGATGGTATGGTTGGTTAATAAAGGTACCAGTGGTTTGTGGTCAGTTTCAATTGTTATTGGTTTTCCAATTATGTAATTGCTTGACCGTTCACATGCCCAAGTTACCGCTAGAGCTTCTTTCTCTATCTGGGCATACCTGGCCTCGGTTGTTGTCATCGACCTTGAAATGAATGATACAGGTTTCCAGGTGTCTGGTTCTTCTTCTTGCAGCACCACCGCTCCAAGGCCGTATGATGATGCGTCGGCCGCTATTTTGGTTGCTTTGTTGGGGTCGTACAAGGTTAGTATCGGTGCTGATGTCAGGGCTTTCTTGATTTTGTCAAAAGCGTCTTGTTGTGGTGGTCCCCATGTCCACGCAGTGTTCTTAACTAGCAGTTCTCGGATGGGCTTTGTCAGGTCAGCAAGATTGGTGGTAAATTTGCTAAATTGGTTTACCATTCCAAGAAAGGAACGGACTTCATGTAGGTTGGTTGGGTGTGGCATTTCGAGAATCGCTTGTATTTTCTCTGGATCGGGTTTGATGCCATCAGCTCCCACGATCTGACCTAGGAATTTCACACTCGAGACGTTAAACACGCACTTTTCGGCATTTAGCGTGACGTTGGCGTTACCGAGTCGTTGGAGAACCGCTTCCAATCTTCGGTCGTGTTCTTCTTGTGTTGCACCGTGAACTAGAACATCATCGATGTTGCATTCGACGCCATCCAAACCTTCGAGAATTTGGCACATACATTTCTGAAACTTTTCAGACCCTGAACTTATTCCGAAAGGAAGAACGTTGAAACAGTACCGTCCCCAGGGTGTTATGAACGTTGTTAGAGGTTTTGATCTTTCCGAGAGCTTGATTTGCCAAAATCCAGAGTTGGCATCTAACTTTGTGAAATACCGAGCTCCAGCAAGGTTTGCAAATGTCGTGTCGGTTGTTGGTAGGGGATGGTTTTCACGTTGCACGAACTGATTAAGCTTTGTGAGATCTACGCATACTCGAACTTTTCCATTGCTTTTTGGCGTTACAACCATCGGGGCGCACCATTCGGTTGGATCTTCAACTCGAGATATTACTCCGTTGCGTTCCATTCTTTGTAATTCCCGTTCGGTTTCTTTTCGAAGTGGTATCGGAACTTGTCGTGGAACCGTGATTGCAAAAGGTGTTGCTTCGTGCGTGACTTTAATATCATACTCTTGGTCTTTAATTTGTCCAAGACCGGTGAAAAGATTGGGATACTTTTCTTTGACGCTTTCTTTCATTTCGTTGTTGTTTAGAGCGTCGACACAGTTGAGTAAATTCAGACTGTGGGCTGCTTGTCTTCCTAATAATGATCTTTCGAGTCCTTTAACGACGAATATTTCTTCTGTAGTTGTCTTGTCCTCGTGTCGCAGCTGTGAAGTGAATGTTCCTATACAGTTCATTTTGTAATTGCACGGGCCCATAAGAACTTTACCGGTCGACTTGAGTGTTGACTGT